CTACAATCTATTTTGAGGATTTGTGGATGATATCGGTCTGTCGATTGATTCTTCCTGAAAAGGTAAAGATTTAATTGTATTTAATGTCACGATGTATGAAAAGCATTGCGTAATGGTGTTCTCAAAATAAATGAGACTGTGCTATATGCATTTCGTATGCATATGCTAATGATGTATGAATGTGTAACGTTGTTAAAGTGTATTTATAGACACGCGCGACATATTTGTTTAGGAAAATAAATCCTTGACTATTGTTGGGGATGAAGAGCATGTGTATCTTCAATATTGTCTAGAATTATTCCGCTGGGGATTCCTGCTTACTTGTTTGAGGAAACTCTGCAGAGGATGTTGACTTCCTGCTTGGGGAGTAGAGTTTAGGAAAATTGGTCGTCTGTTTCTCTACTAGATAATTTAATTCTTATATACCCTGCCTGGGGATAAAAGAGATGGATAAACTTCTGACTCGTTAGGGGCGGATAATCCTTATGTACCCTAACTGGGGATAAAAGAGATGGATAACCTTCTGAATCGTCTGGGGAGGATAATTTTTGCATAACCTGACTGGGGACAGTGGTAACTTTACTAGAGAGGAATTTTATCAGTGATTTGTCGTAGTCTGAGGAATAGACTCGAGTTGGGGAAACTATAGCTTGTTGGGGAAATAAACCCCGTTGATGGAGAAATATTCTACTGAGGATACAAACTATATTGAGGAAATTGAATTTTCTAAAGAGAAGAACTCTGTGGGGGGTTCTACAGTTTTCAAACTCAGTTGGGGAAGAGAATTTGTGAGGATTACTTTGTGGGGATAATCTCATAGGAGTGATTTATAGACAGCTTAAACGCCATCCTAACTCCTAGAATCTTGAGTAAATGCTTATTCCTGTTCTTATGCATATATTTGTTAACAGTTAAACATTGTTGATCATTAAATGTTGCTTTGTGGATTCTTAAATGGATGATATACTTGACAAAAAGAAAATGCAACTTGTTGTTGAGAGGCTTTGGTTCTACCAATCCTCTAATGAGTTCCAAATGCAAGTTTCAAGAGGGTCATCCAACTAACCACTAATTTCTAACAATTAACTTCATTTTATGCTTTTATTTTATGATCTTTACTTTATGTACCATTTATTTTAGCATTTACATTTCATGCTATTTTTCATCTTTGCTCACTTGAGCATTTACTTTTATGTCATTTTTATTTTGCTCACTTGAGCTTTTCTTTTCTTTTTGAAGATACTTAATAATCAACATGAACCATAAAAAACTTTAATGTTACTTGGACTATTTGGTTACTATCCTTGGCATTATGGAGTATTGGACTTCTTGTACTTAGGATTAGAGACCTTGATCATATGTTGGAGACCGTGTGACCTTAATTGATATTTTGTCTGGAGTTCTTGAGTTTTACCTCAAGACATTGGGTTATTTTTTGTTTTGTGTGCAGGTTATTGTGATTACATACTTTGTCTATAATCTGGAATTCACCTGTTGAAACAACTGGCTGAAAATCATCAAACAATGAAGTCTCCATCGAACGTCTTTTATCCCACATGTAGGGAAAGGTAAACATCGAGAAAACCTGAGAAGGGAGAAGTCACGGTCTTGCGACTGAGAGATCGGGTAAGGGAGTCTGTTATGCAAGGGGAAGGTATTAGTACCCTACCCGCCCGTAGTACTCTATGGTATCCACTCTTGTTATCTATCTTATGGGTATATTTAATCTATGCTTATTGTTTACTATACTACTGAAGGGAGAATGCATGAAAAAGAAAAGATAAAAGAATGTAGGGAAAATAAAATTGTGCTCGCTTGGGCCCTACCTCAATGCCTACATATCCGTTTTGAGGACTCAGAGCTACCATAGTTTGGCTCTTATGTTTTTGTTTGTTTGTGTTTTTATGGATGAAATTAAGTATGCCTTATGTCAAAGCTCGACATTTGGAGACTTATGCGTTGGCACAGAAGTAAATTAATCATATCCTTACCTGAAAAGGGTTTTAGAGAAAAGGGTGCTCGACCGCACAAAATGATTTGAATTGGTTTGTATTTTTGTTACCTTGAAAAAGGGTTTAAGTATGATTAGCATGTTTTTGATTTGCTAAGAAGAGAAGTTTTTGTTTTAATGCAAGGATGCAAAAAGGGAAATAAAAGAGTCTAAGGGGGACTAGCCTATTTCTAACCTAATGTTATCATACAATGGTGGCCCTATGTCAAGGATGGAAGGGAAACGTCTACCTAATGTTAGCATGCATAGTTAGAAACCTAAGGTCTAACCCGCATCCGAATGGAGCAAGCGCATCCTAAAGGGAACATGGTACGTACAAGGATAAAGCAAACAAGCCAGTAAACTCAAAAGATCACATCTAGAAAGATCTTATCTAAGTTAGTATTCCAAAGAAAGTCTAACAAAACTATCCTATAGGGAACATGCAATGAGAGCGAAGTCATGATCTCAATTTCTAAATTGAGTGACTCATCGATCGGCGTGAAATAAAGGAAAGCGATAAAATCCTATATGGAGCATGCACTGAGAGCGAAGTCATGATCTCAATTTCTAAATTGAGTGACTCATCGATCAACAAGAAAGTAAACAAACACAAGCACAACACATATAGCAAATGAAGTACGGAATGCCTGCTACAGGTCTTTAAACAGCGACTTCGAGCGCATGCTCTTTATTTCCTACTTCACATGATATGTAGAAATCGATAACGAAATGCAATAAAGTACGAAGAAGTACAAGGGTAGTAGCGGAGACTACCAAAGCGAGAAAGTTGTCAAGAGCAGACGAAAGCGCTAGAGAAGCAGGGAATACGCGTTGAGCAAGCTTCACCAAGAAACAAACAAAGTCAGAAACAGTATCCAACTAAGATAAAGGTAAACGCGTGTTGCGAATGCGACACGTAATCAAAAATTCACGTGCAAAATATCACATGTATAAGGATAACATATAATACAATATGAATTTCTCAAGACGATGAGAAATAAGGAGTGCCGCATCGCAAGAGAGCATAAGCCGTATGCTTCGATCACATAAATACTTGTTATGTTACATGATCAAAAGCACAAAAATTTACCTTGCACAATGAACAAACGCGTCAACAATAACATGGCGAAGCGGTGTGATAATATGAATAAACCTAAAAGAAAGAGTATTTTTTATTAGTTTTTATATGTGAGGGAAACTCTATTAAAACTAATGAATTAATTTCTAAAATTAACCAAGAAGTTCTAACAAGTTTCATTGATTTTTACAATTTTGTCATAGGAAAAATTAACGAAGAAAAGTCTTAAATCTAATAAAGAATTAGTAAGCTCGAGGAGGTGTGAACTGGAATCCAGCGAGCATATGTAGAAAAACCACTTAAGTGTTAAGCCCAATTCAGAAGTAGTCCAGCAATGATTTTTATTTTAGCTCTACAACAAAAACTCACAACAATTTCCATTGGGCTAATGGTGCTTAGAATTCATGTAGGTCCATAGTGCACACATTGCACTCAGAATTTCAATAAGACTAAAATTAAATAACAAAAATAATTAAAAAATATAGTCAAGGAGAAAAGAGATGCTACACAGAGTTTTGTCATAAAGGTCATGTGACCTTCCAAATCCCTTTGAATAAAAAGAAAATAGATTCGATCTACCTTATCGTCCTCTCTCAGTGCCTACGGTGGATCCGCCGACTGGAATTCGTCTACGAAGGTGGAGCGAGCCCAGATAGTCCCTAACTAACGTGAACTGCATCCTATCATCATCCTCTTGGCGAATCTCGCCCTTAACTCCATCAGTTCACTCCAATCATCACTGAATCTAACTCAAATCGAGACCTTAGAGATGTTTAAACTTACAGTTACATGAAGATGGCGATGAGTGTGTCTTAATAACCATGACAGAAGGGGTCTATACATCTAAAACTATGCTAGGGCATCAGAAAAGTAGCAAGGCAATGGCGAACATACCTTCCTCGATTGGTGACGGAAAAGCCTTTCGTGCTAGGTACTTCTCTTTGTCACCTCTTTCTTCTGTGTTGTTGCTTTTCTTGTTCTCTCTACTTCGTCTACTTCTTCTGTGAATCGATTGTTATGCATCGTGATCTGTTTGTTGATGCGTGTTGTGGTGTGACGCGTTGTTGTTCTGATTGCATAGTTGCGAGTGTTCTTGAGTGTTGTTGTTGTTGAGCGAAAGACGAGAGTTGTAGAAGGAGGTGAAGGTTGTAGCGCAGAGTGAAAGAGATGAGGGTTTAAGTGCAGGGAGAGTTTTGAGGGAGATAATGATGAAGATGAAGACTGGTGAGTGAAGGTATGAAAAAGATTGAAATTGATGAAAAAGTGGTGTAGGAAGCCTGATTGAAGGTGATTCTCTGTTTATATAGAGGTGATGAGGTAGACGACAGTTATTGATTAATCAAATGGAGCCATGGGATTTGAGATTTCTGTTAGGAAATGAACGGTGAGGATTGGAGATTGGGAAGTTGGTTAGGAATCATTCTGAATTATTTAGGAAGTTGGTTATCTCAATGTGAACTTGTGTTTTCTGTTTTGCATTTATCTGTTTTTTCTCTTGGCTGGAATTTTTTTTAAGGCAGTTAGGGGTTATATTTAGAGATTATGGTTAGGGTGTTTGTTATGAAGTTCTATTTTGAATGTGAACTAGGCGGTTGGTTAGAGGTTGTTAAGGAAGTTAGGAATTCTGTTGCGACAGTTAGAATTTATGTTAGAAGAGTGAGAGTTAGTTTTCTGTTAGTTGTTCGGGTTGCGACAGTTGTAAGTTTTTGTTAAGTCTTCTCCTAATTTCTAGTATAAGTTAAGAAGGTAGAAATTATGTTAGGGAAAATAGTTAGGAAGGTTGGTTGAATCTTGTTAGACATTTAGTTATCGATTAAGAATTTTGTTTTGCGGTTTTTTCTGTGATGGTTACTTTTGTTGGTTCTGATTCAGTTATACAGGGTAGTTAAGTGATTCTATTTAGAAGTTAAACATTTGTTATGAAATTGGTTAGGAGGTTAGGTTAGTTATTGGCGAAGGTGATATAATAAACATAGATTGAGGAATTGAAGACACTGGAGGTGTCCTGTTGATGTTGATTACCTGAAGGAAACTAGAAAATGAAGTGAAGCACTTATTGCTGCTGACAAATTTTGTGCAGGTATTACATAAGGATTTCTTGGTGGCCCAACGTGACCAAAAGGAGTTGTTTGAGTCCATTGTGAATGTTGTAGGAATTGTGTTGGTGGTGCTGCTTGCATAGAAAAACTGCTGATTTGGAATAATCGGGTGGAATCTAGTAATAGATATAGGTGGAGCACTAAAAGCTGAAATCATCTTTGAAGGGCTCATTGTCTGTGATGGAAAATGAGGAGTTCTAGCAAGGTGTGGTGGATTTGGAGGGACTACACTGCAAGAAGAAGCAGATGAGGAGTATGAGATGGAGCAGCTAAAAACCATGAACCAGATTATTGAAAGTGATTTCCTTGTATTTGTGTGATGGCTGCTGGTTGAAACACAACCATGTTTGCCAAAGATAGAGAAACAACATGAGGTGGGGGTCTTGGTTGTCAGATTTATTTATTTATATTGCTTTTTCAACTGGTTTTTTCTTTTTATAAAATATTGTTTATGTTAACTTTCAGTTACAATTAGTGGCTAGTAAACAATTAGAAAACTAGTGTTATGTTAGTTTGTTTTGCATTGGATCCATTCTTCTGTTTGTTGGATGCATAGCGAACTGGTTTTTCTTATCAATTAATGCAGCATTATTCGAACTTTGGATAATTGAGATTGGTTTCCTTAATGATGCAGGCTATGAAGTGTTTGAAGAACGAAAAAGGGCTTAAAGAATTCACTTGGATAAGAGGCATAGTATCAGGTTAAATGGAGACTCGACTCATGATGTGAAAAGTGGGGAAAGGCTTGGTCATGGGACTTGGATTTATTTTTAATTTTGTAATATTCGGTGCATTTTTCGTAACATTTTTGTAAAAAGAGTAATGACTACGTGAATTTAAAATAGAACTTGGACGAGTTCTCCTCGACCTTGGTAATGCCTTGGACATTTGAATGAATTTGTAAAACCCTTGATAGACATTGAACTGAGTTGTTTGATTTTATAAGCTTGTCTCGAGAATTATGGATCCCCTTTGAATAAACCTTGTATGGCTATAACCGTTTTACATTCAAATTGAACCTACCTTACGGTCATGACCATACTTCGTTACTGCTTTTGTGATTCCACTTTTATTTTCCTCAAGAAATCTAAATGCCCTTCTTATTTTGAAAACTCTAAACAAATCTAATCCATGACGTTAGGTAGCACTTCAAATGACTCTAAATAACGATTCCATAAAAGCCAAACCAAGTCGATCTCGCTTCCTTGCAACAACTTTTAATTTCCCCCTTAGCCCCATTTTTGTAATTGAAATAACAAATAACAATGCCTTGAGGACGCCTTGAAGTATAGAGAGAAATATAATATGAAACCCATTGAACCCTAGCTGATAAATGTTATAACTTTACACGTAGAGAATACGACACACTAGTCCATTTGTGCTTGATGAATTTTTGATAGAGGGTGACCTTGTAGCTTGACAAAGAAAGATCCACAACATCCATGAACACAACAATAACCCCACAATTTTGCCGCCTTGGGAAAATAACCAAAAAGACAAGCTTTATGGAACATATACACTTCATCCAATTGGTGAAACCCTAACCATGTTCATAAAAACCGTGGATACAATGCTAAGCTTATTGATTAATGATGCATGACGTGTCAAATGACCTAATGTAGGTTGTGTACATGTGAAAAGTGCGAAACGCATAAGCCAGGTAAAAATAAAAGGGGTAGGACAAATTTAGGGTATTACAACTTCCCCTATTTAATCGTCTTAAACTTGAAAGTATGATTGGTGCATGCCTTTTGGAAGTTCAAGGTTGAGGATGATTAAATACCAATGCTAAAAATTTGTCCTGAGAGAGAGTGTAAGTGTTTCTTTATTTTTGTGGTATCTGCTGGGTTTTTTTAAATTTTTTTTTATGAATAGACGAAGATTGGACTTGTAACATGGTGCGATGCCAATAAAAGACAAATGGTTGGTATGAAAATACAGCGGACGAGGTCTACGGGCGACCTGCGATCCTAAGGTGAAACATGAGAGCGATTCGACGGAAAGCCTAGCCTAAGGGCGATCTCAGGTTCGACGATGATCTAAGGAGGAACCTAGCCAAGAGGCGATCTTAGGTTCTAAGAAGGTAGCCGTATTGGTCCCGACACGATAACAAAAAGGAAGACATCTATCAGGACACAATGGTTCGATGAGAGGTATCGATCAGGACACGATAACAAAAAGGAAGACATCGATCAGGACACGACGGCTAACAGGAATACATCGATCAGGACACAATGATTAAAAGGGAGGTAGAATGATGCAAACATAAGGACAAAGAAGACTTGTAACGTGGTGTGATGCCAATACAAGGAAGGTATAACACAGACAATTGTTGGAATCAATACGGATGAGTATCGAAAGGAGATACAGACGAGTATCAAAAGGTTTAAACACAGACGGGAGTTTGAATAAATACGGACGAGTATTGCAGGAAGATACGAACGAGTACCAAGGAAGATATAACACGAGCGAGTGTTGGAATCAATACAGATGAGTATCGAAAGGAGATATAGACGAGTATCAAAAGGTTTAAACATAGACAAGCATTTGAATAAATACGGACGAGTATTGTAGGAAGATACGGACGAGTATCAAGGAAGAGATAACACGGGCCAGTGTTGGAATCAATACAGACGAGTATCGAAAGGAGAAACAAACGAGTATCAAAAGGTTTAAACACAGACAAGCATTTGAATCAATATGGATGAGTATTGTAGGAAGATACGGATGAGGATCAAGGAAGAGATAACACGGGCGAGTGCTGGAATCAATACGGACGGGTATCAAAAGGAGATACAAACGAGTATCAAAAGGTTTAAACAAAGACGAACGTTTGAATCAATATGGACCAGTATTGCAGGAAGATACAGACAAGTGTTTGAATCAATATGGACGAGTATCGAAAGGAGATACAGACGAGTATCAAAAGTTTTAAACACGGACGAGTGTTCGGGAGACTAACATGGATGAGCGTTTAGGAATTGACACGGACGAGTGTTTAGAAGTTGACACGGCGAGTGTTTAGGAATTGACACGGACGAGTGTTTAGGAATTTACAAGACGAGTGTTTGGATAAATACGGACGGGTATTGAGAAAAGATACAGACAAGTACCAAGGAAAGTTTAAACACAGATGAGTGTTTAAGAGACTTACACAGATGAGTGTTTAGGAATTGACATGGACGAGTGTTTCGGAATTTACACGACGAGTGTTTAGGAATTGACACGACGAGTGTTTAGGAATATACACGACGAGTTTTTGGATCAATACAGACGGGTATTGAGAAAAGATACAGACGAGTGCCAAGGAAATTTTAAACACAGACGAGTGTTTGAGAGACTGACACAGATGAGTGTTTAGGAATTGACACAGACGAGTGTTTGGAGACCGACATAGACGAATGTTGGGTTTAGATTTGGCGTATTGACCTTGCTGGGCATGAAAAGATGAAAGTCATCGACTGGGGATTTTGGGAATGATACCCTCTTGTAGGGACGTATTGTTGTCCTTGAATGATTTAGGTCTTTCGTGTAAGGTACTTGATCTGGCTTATTCTTTGTATGCATGTTTGAACTTTTTTTTGCGCAAAGATCCACTCTGACGGGATCATCTACGCGCTTTTGAAGATGCAATGTTATGTAATGATAACTGTTGTACCCCAAAATTTTCCCTCTCATTTTATCAACATTTCTCATCACAAGACTCTCGGAACTCAAGACCAAGCTAGGGTTTGCTCTGCTCAAGACACCTCCTTGCACTGTTGACCTAAATTAGGGTTTGAGTTTGCACGGGGATTTTTGGACCTTCAATGCCCAAATTGACTTTCATACTTCATGTTGGACTCATAATTTTTCCCATAACAAGTTTCAAGCCTTGAATCAAATTTTTGCCCAGTCAATTGGACAGTTGACCTAGAAATCAGCTGTATTGGGGAAAAAGTCAACTGTGGCCAATTTACAGTCAAACCTCATGAATTTTGACCCACATAAACATTATGAACTCATATAAACCATTTGATCAAGTTTGGACCATGAATCCATAAGAAATTTGATCAGATCACCAAAAGGGCAAACTGGTTATTTTTAGGGTTTTGACTGTACAAAGGCAATTTTGACTGTTTAACATATCCAATGGCAAATCAAGTTCAACCATGGGCTCAAGGAATCAATGACATTATCTTTAACTATTCAAAAAGTTCAAAAGATCTCAAATTCATAGGATTGACAAATGAATTTTTCAGTCAACTGATCAAATTTGACTGTACACTAAAAAGTCAACTTTGACTTTTTGGTCAAAATCAAGTGCCAAGGGTCATTTTTCATCAAGATGTGTCAAATTATGAAACTTGTTCATCAAGAAACCCAAAATTGCAAATTAGGGTTTGAAATTGAAAAAAATTCATAACTTAGAATTTTTCTATGTTATGAAATTTTCTTAATTTTTCCTAACTTTGTCCCACATTTTCACCAAGATGAAAATGGATTCAAACAAAACTTACAACATGAAAGTTGTAGTCCTCCACAAAGTCTAAAACTTTGATTCACAAAGTTTTCTCAAATAAGCTTGGATCTCAAGTTATGATTTTTGAACAAGGGTCCCTAAAACTTTTAACTTAGAGAAATTTTGCCCTAGTTTAGGCAGGATTTTGACCCATCTTCTTGGCCATTTTTCACATAGTTCCACTTGGAGTCTCAAGTTTCATTTCAAATATGGATTATAGTACTTGTTTCAAGCTTTCCAAATTGTCTAATAACTCCTCAAACACATTTGTGGTTAGGGAGAATTGAATGCTTGAAGTTGGAAAAAACTCACTTTGTAACCATGGCCAATACATGTTCATACAAGTTGCAAAATCTGACCAAACTAGCTTTGTACTTGATTACAGGTCTCTAAACCAATTTACACTCAAAAATTGAATGCAAATACATTTGTTAAAGGCATTATTCTGATCAAGGGAGCATTATACAATGAATAATTACATTTTGGGCATAAAGATAACACTTTCATTTACATAAAGCATGCTTTATGTCAAGTTTCATTTCTTGAGCCATACACCAATCCCTTTGCTGCAAACAAGGCTCCCTAATTCCAGGCAAAGCTCAACCACTTTGTGCTTCAAAACCAAGTCATTATGCCAAAAGTCCATAACTTGCACATCTGATATTTTCAACTAAAGCCAAGATTTCAAACAAGTTTCTCACATTACGCTAAGCCAGAAACACGAGCTAGCAACCTCTCAAACACCCTTGTACAAAAAAAACACTATTTTCTGCCAAAAC